CGGCGCCGCACTGCCGGAGCACGGCCGCAGTAGTGGAATAGCTCTGATTGACTACAACGGGACCGATTTTGCTCCGGCGTTCGTGTCGGAGCGGAGCGGAGCGGAGGTAGTGGAATTTGGGGGTAACCCAAACCAAACCTAACAAGCTTCAGAGGTTAGAAACGCGGTCGGGACAGAGCAGAGGCTGTTAAAGTGACTGTGTGTGGTTTCCCTGGTGATAGGGGGCAGTACATACCTAAATCACACAAGCCTTAGCCTGAGACCTTACCAACGGATGCCCATTAGGGTCAAAAATCCCTGGGAGCACAACCTGACAAGAGCATCAGACTCCCTTTCATCACTGGCAACGAGTGAAGGGCCAAGTGTGTAAAACCATGTTTATGAATGGTGGAAGCTTTGAAACCGTTCAGTAATGCAGTTTGTCCTCACAGGCTCCCATAGAAGAAACATGTCATCCAATATGGCGTCGCCCAGAGACTTGGACCCGCTCCCATGTGTTTTTATGGTTATATGTTAGGAAGCCGCCAATATTTTCCAACAACTGGACGTCTTTTCATTCATTTTCAACATTTCAATGGATAGTCCCAGAGATTACCGGTAAAAACTACACACTGTCTCTTTAAAGAGTCCATGTGTTTAGGGGTAGTTTTATCTCCAATGTCTGCAGCCTCTTCTGAGCTGTCATTCAGTCTGGTTACCATGGCAACGAGGCGTGTGCAATCGGGGAGCAGAGGAGGTTCTGCGAGGATCTCGTAGTTGTAAAATAAAATATGACGGGGAATGGGATTAGTGCGGTTTATCTGTCGCTCCACAAAGAGTCCCAAATCTCTCCAGAAGATCTCCTTCAGGGAGATCAGAGCGCTGATGGAGGACGCGTTCCCTCCAGAGAGCACGCTCTGCCGAATCCTCCAATAAGAATAGGACACCATCTTTTATTTAGTTGTGAATACAACACGGCATTCCCGTGGCACACGTGTTTCCCGTTCTACCACTAGATGCTGTTCCTAGACATGGTCACGGGGACATGGTGACGGGGACATGGTCACGCGGACATGGTAACGGGGACATGGTCACGGGGACATGGTGACAGGGACATGGTCACGCGGACATGGTCACGGGGACATGGTCACGCGGACATGGTCACCGGGACATGGTCACGGGGACATGGTCACGGGGACATGGTCACGGGGACATGGTCACGCGGACATAGTAACGGGGACATGGTCACGGGGACATGGTGACAGGGACATGGTCACGGGGACATGGTGACGGGGACATGGTCACGGGGACATGGTGACAGGGACATGGTCACGGGGACATGGTGACAGGGACATGGTCACGGGGACATGGTGACGGGGACATGGTCACGGGGACATGGTGACAGGGACATGGTCACGGGGACATGGTGACAGGGACATGGTCACGGGGACATGGTGACGGGGACATGGTCACGGGGACATGGTGACAGGGACAGGGTCACGCGGACATGGTCACGCGGACATGGTCACGGGGACATGGTGACGGGGACATGGTCACGGGGACATGGTGACAGGGACATGGTCACGCGGACATGGTCACGCGGACATGGTCACGGGGACATGGTGACGGGGACATGGTCACGGGGACATGGTGACGCGGACATGGTCACGGGGACATGGTCACGGGGACATGGTCACGCGGACATGGTCACGCGGACATGGTCACGCGGACATGGTGACGGGGACATGGTGACGGGGACATGGTGACGGGGACATGGTCACGGGGACATGGTGACAGGGACATGGTCACGGGGACATGGTGACAGGGACATGGTCACGGGGACATGGTCACGCGGACATGGTCACGGGGACATGGTCACGCGGACATGGTCACGCGGACATGGTCACGCGGACATGGTAACGCGGACATGGTCACGGGGACATGGTCACGCGGACATGGTCACGGGGACATGGTCACGGGGACATGGTCACGGGGACATGATGACAGGGACATGGTCACGCGGACATGGTCACGGGGACATGGTCACGGGGACATGGTCACGGGGACATGGTGACAGGGACATGGTCACGGGGACATGGTGACAGGGACATGGTCACACGGACTTGGTCACGGGGACATGGTGACGGGGACATGGTCACGAGGACATGGTCACTGGGACATGGTGACGGGGACATGGTCACGGGGACATGGTGACGGGGACATGATCACGCGGACATGGTGACAGGGACATGGTCACGGGGACATGGTGACAGGGACATGGTCACGGGGACATGGTGACAGGGACATGATCACGGGGACATGGTGACAGGGACATGATCACGCGGACATGGTCACGCGGACATGGTCACGCGCACATGGTCACGGGGACATGGTCACGGGGACATGGTGACGGGGACATGGTCACGCGGACATGGTCACGGGGACATGGTGACAGGGACATGGTCACGGGACATGGTGACAGGGACATGGTCACGCGGACATGGTCACGGGGACATGGTGACAGGGACATGGTCACGGGGACATGGTCACAGGGACATGGTGACAGGGACATGGTCACGGGGACATGGTGACAGGGACATGGTCACGGGGACATGGTCACGGGGACATGGTGACAGGGACATGGTCACGGGGACATGGTCACAGGGACATGGTGACAGGGACATGGTGACAGGGACATGGTCACGCGGACATGGTCACGGGGACATGGTCACGGGGACATGGTCACGCGGACATGGTCACCGGGACATGGTCACGGGGACATGGTCACGCGGACATGGTAACGGGGACATGGTCACGGGGACATGGTCACGCGGACATGGTCACGGGGACATGGTCACGGGGACATGGTCACGCGGACATAGTAACGGGGACATGGTCACGGGGACATGGTGACAGGGACATGGTCACGGGGACATGGTGACAGGGACATGGTGACGGGGACATGGTGACGGGGACATGGTCACGGGGACATGGTGACAGGGACATGGTCACGGGGACATGGTGACAGGGACATGGTCACGGGGACATGGTGACGGGGACATGGTCACGGGGACATGGTGACAGGGACATGGTCACGGGGACATGGTGACAGGGACATGGTCACGGGGACATGGTGACGGGGACATGGTCACGGGGACATGGTGACAGGGACAGGGTCACGCGGACATGGTCACGCGGACATGGTCACGGGGACATGGTGACGGGGACATGGTGACAGGGACATGGTCACGCGGACATGGTCACGCGGACATGGTCACGGGGACATGGTGACGGGGACATGGTCACGGGGACATGGTCACGGGGACATGGTCACGGGGACATGGTCACGCGGACATGGTCACGCGGACATGGTCACGCGGACATGGTGACGGGGACATGGTCACGGGGACATGGTGACGGGGACATGGTCATGGGGACATGGTGACAGGGACATGGTCACGGGGACATGGTCACGCGGACATGGTCACGGGGACATGGTCACGCGGACATGGTCACGCGGACATGGTCACGGGGACATGGTCACGCGGCCATGGTCACGGGGACATGGTCACGGGGACATGGTCACGCGGACATGGTCACGGGGACATGGTGACAGGGACATGGTCACGCGGACATGGTCACGCGGACATGGTCACGGGGACATGGTCACGGGGACATGGTCACGGGGACATGGTGACAGGGACATGGTCACGCGGACATGGTCACGGGGACATGGTCACAGGGACATGGTGACAGGGACATGGTCACGGGGACATGGTGACAGGGACATGGTCACACGGACTTGGTCACGGGGACATGGTGACGGGGACATGGTCACGAGGACATGGTCACTGGGACATGGTGACGGGGACATGGTCACGGGGACATGATCACACGGACATGGTGACGGGGACATGGTCACGGGGACATGGTGACGGGGACATGATCACGGAGACATGGTGACAGGGACATGATCACGCGGACATGGTCACGCGGACATGGTCACGCGCACATGGTCACGGGGACATGGTCACGGGGACATGGTGACGGGGACATGGTCACGCGGACATGGTCACGGGGACATGGTGACAGGGACATGGTCACGGGACATGGTGACAGGGACATGGTCACGCGGACATGGTCACGGGGACATGGTGACAGGGACATGGTCACGGGGACATGGTGACAGGGACATGGTCACGGGGACATGGTGACAGGGACATGGTCACGGGGACATGGTCACGCGGACATGGTGACAGGGACATGGTCACGGGGACATGGTGACAGGGACATGGTCACGGGGACATGGTGACAGGGACATGGTCAGGCGGACATGGTGACAGGGACATGGTCACGCGGACATGGTCACGGGGACATGGTGACAGGGACATGGTCACGGGGACATGGTGACAGGGACATGGTCACGGGGACATGGTGACAGGGACATGGTCACGCGGACATGGTCACGGGGACATGGTGACAGGGACATGGTCACGGGGACATGGTGACCGGGACATGGTCACGGGGACATGGTGACCGGGACATGGTCACGGGGACATGGTGACAGGGACATGGTCACGGGGACATGGTCACAGGGACATGGTCACGGGGACATGGTCACAGGGACATGGTGACAGGGACATGGTCACGGGGACATGGTGACAGGGACATGGTCACGGGGACATGGTCACAGGGACATGGTCACGGGGACATGGTCACAGGGACATGGTGACAGGGACATGGTCACGCGGACATGGTCACGGGGACATGGTGACAGGGACATGGTGACAGGGACATGGTCACGGGGACATGGTCACGCGGACATGGTCACGGGGACATGGTGACAGGGACATGGTCACGGGGACATGGTCACAGGGACATGGTCACGGGGACATGGTGACAGGGACATGGTCACGCGGACATGGTCACGGGGACATGGTGACAGGGACATGGTCACGGGGACATGGTGACAGGGACATGGTCACGGGGACATGGTGACAGGGACATGGTCACGCGGACATGGTCACGGGGACATGGTGACAGGGACATGGTCACGGGGACATGGTGACCGGGACATGGTCACGGGGACATGGTGACCGGGACATGGTCACGGGGACATGGTGACAGGGACATGGTCACGGGGACATGGTCACAGGGACATGGTCACGGGGACATGGTCACAGGGACATGGTGACAGGGACATGGTCACGGGGACATGGTGACAGGGACATGGTCACGGGGACATGGTCACAGGGACATGGTCACGGGGACATGGTCACAGGGACATGGTGACAGGGACATGGTCACGCGGACATGGTCACGGGGACATGGTGACAGGGACATGGTGACAGGGACATGGTCACGGGGACATGGTCACGCGGACATGGTCACGGGGACATGGTGACAGGGACATGGTCACGGGGACATGGTCACAGGGACATGGTCACGGGGACATGGTGACAGGGACATGGTCACGCGGACATGGTCACGGGGACATGGTGACAGGGACATGGTCACGGGGACATGGTCACACACAAGTACTAACTGGTAAATACCACACAACGCATAAAATCGGTCCTACGCACGAAATACGCACAGATCTGTAAGTGCGGTTGATAAATGAGGGCCCAGGACTGGACCTGGACCAGATATCAGACCTGCTTCAGAAGAACTATTCATCCAGACCTGTGGCCTCATTCATGAAGCTGCTGTTTGGGATTAGATTTGTGCCAATAGGGTCAAGAAAAACACTTTGATGGTCAAACAAAAATTAAGAAATTGACAGAACAAAAATATTGACTAAAGGAAAAAACATGTTTCAAAAGTAAAACTTACTATCTGAATCAGATTCTTAAAATGAGTAAGAAAGTACGTTTCCTTTTTCTGTTAGCCTCCATGTGTTTTTGTTATCACTTTCCTTAGTTTCGTTCTCGCTGCTCACAGCTTTGCTCTCACTACCAGATCTGCACTTACACTTTCTGGCTTTCTCCTTTGCAATCCCTGAGTTTTTGGTTGCAATTCTGACACAACCCTTTCGGGTGGGCGGGACTTCTGAGAAGTCCTCTCCCATAGGACAGTGGTTTCTCTTGAGTGACAGTTCAGTGATGTAGCCTCCAAGACATTTTTTTCCACCTGGTCAACAACATGAATTTTGAGCCCCAAACACATTATTTCTGCTGTCTATGGTGTCTACTGAGGATCTAAAGTGAGTATTGATAATATATTTTATCTTTTCTTAGTTACTCTGTAAGTTAAGCCACTTTTTAAGTTGGTTTTAACCAGACGTTAGCTCACTAGCTAGCTGCTAAGCAAGTTAATGTGCTAGCCTCAGGACAATGGTCTACTGTTCCAGAGAGACGTATTAAAAACTCATCTTAACATATTCATTTTTATTCCATGTTACTTGGACGGGCTAAACAAGTTCATAGTTCTGCCTGCTCCTTTTTCAGTCAAACGAACGGATTATATGATGCAACTCTGACTGAATAATTATCTAAGTATGTTTGATAATAAATTTCTTTCCAGTATACCGATCTGACATTTGTCTGTCAGAACAGGACAAATCAGATTCAATGTGCTTTCTGTCACGTGTTCTGTATTCTCCATCAGAAGAATGTTATCCAGGACAGATCATCAATAATGAGTTAAATACATGTTTTTAATTTATTTTTACATAAAATCTATATTTTTGTCTAAAAGCTATTTCTTTTGTTGTTTTTCTTTCTTTCTTTTTAGAATGAAAACTACTGCACTGCTATACAGTGGAAGTGCTACACGGCCACATGCATCAACTGCAGCTGGTGAGCTAAGACACACCATAGTGTACACTGCAGACTAGGGATGTAAGAAAATATCAATATGGCAATATATCGCGATTCCAGTGATTTTGTATCAATATTATCAAACTGTGTCTCTAAAATACCGATATGGCAATATATCGTGATATTTTTTCCTGAGATATTACATCCATTTTCAAAAGCATTGTATCTAATTTTTGGAAGAATTTACATGCAAAAATTTATGTATTTTCTTTGTTTTCGGTGCACTTTCAATGTTGCCCGCTAGTTGGCAGCAGTGTGCATTGGGTTTTGTTTCCACCATTGAAATTTAAATCCCGCTATTATGGTTCAGATAACTCATGTTATACATGTTAAGTGTCAGTTTGGACTGTTTATTGAATATTCCTACAATAAATTCAGTCAAAAATACACAGCCCTACTGCAGACCAATCCCACCTCATGTAGTTCATAGGCTGTATAATAAACCCACAGTGATGGTTATGGATAAATATCTGTACTAATGGTAATCTTTTTCCATTGTTTCCAGTTGACACGCATATGGACCTATTGTTCGAGTCTGTGGTGGTGGATGCTCTACCATATCAGGAGTCGGTGGTGGTGGATGCTCTACCATATCAGGAGTCGGTGGTGGTGGATGCTCTACCATATCAGGAGTCGGTGGTGGTGGATGCTCTATCATATCAGGAGTCGGTGGTGGTGGATGCTCTACCATATCAGGAGTCTGTGGTGGTGGATGCTCTACCATATCAGGAGTCTGTGGTGGTGGATGCTCTACCATATCAGGAGTCTGTGGTGGTGGATGCTCTACCATATCAGGAGTCGGTGGTGGTGGATGCTCTACCATATCAGGAGTCGGTGGTGGTGGATGTTCTACCATATCAGGAGTCTGTGGTGGTGGATGCTCTACCATATCAGGAGTCGGTGGTGGTGGATGCTCTACCATATCAGGAGTCGGTGGTGGTGGATGCTCTACCATATCAGGAGTCTGTGGTGGTGGATGCTCTATCATATCAGGAGTCTGTGGTGGTGGATGCTCTACCATATCAGGAGTCGGTGGTGGTGGATGCTCTACCATATCAGGAGTCTGTGGTGGTGGATGCTCTATCATATCAGGAGTCTGTGGTGGTGGATGCTCTACCATATCAGGAGTCTGTGGTGGTGGATGCTCTACCATATCAGGAGTCTGTGGTGGTGGATGCTCTATCATATCAGGAGTCTGTGGTGGTGGATGCTCTATCATATCAGGAGTCGGTGGTGGTGGATGTTCTACCATATCAGGAGTCTGTGGTGGTGGATGCTCTACCATATCAGGAGTCGGTGGTGGTGGATGCTCTACCATATCAGGAGTCGGTGGTGGTGGATGCTCTACCATATCAGGAGTCTGTGGTGGTGGATGCTCTATCATATCAGGAGTCTGTGGTGGTGGATGCTCTACCATATCAGGAGTCGGTGGTGGTGGATGCTCTACCATATCAGGAGTCTGACTAAGTACCTGTGCCTGAACCTCTCTGTGTCTAGTTCAAAAGACCTGAAAGACCTGCTGTAAGCAGGCACAGGTTAAGATTTTAAAAGAACCTGTAAGGTGAGCAACACAACACAATATAAATCTTTATTATTATTGTACACTGTACAGCTAGCATAAACTTGCATGCTCAGAAGCCACATATGATTACATCGTTCTCCAGGTTGCCTGATGCTGAACTTCGGGCAGCTGCGTGCTCCGTGGACAAACCGCCTGTGGGAGGAGTTGTGTTGCTGTTAGGAGTTTGGGTCAGAGTCCTGGGTTTGTGTTCCCTTTAATCTCTTCATTAGCCTTGCTAGTCACCATTGCTTACCTAAAAACTCTTCTCATGGGGCAGGCACATCCTCACACACCTGTGACTCCATCCTTGAATAAAAGCTGGTAGCTGGTCACTCATCAGAGTGTTTTAACCCATATCTAGCCCATGACTCTGCCGTTTTTCAAACTTACGTTCTCATGTTCTATGCAGATCTATGGAAATTCTTTCCTTGAAGCTCCTGATCACACAACCATACTGGCAGTCGGCTTACCCACTACCTTCTGCTCACCCGCTTGCAACTCATGCTGTCATTCTCCCAGACTTCTGGTTGTTTCTCCATCATTCTGCTGTCTCCCGTCTGCGCTACAGCTTCAGACCGTAAGTACCTAAACTTTTCCTTTTGTAAGTTATTCTTTAGTCATTACCAACACTCAATTTTACCTCAGGGCCTTCTGATCTTTAAACACTAAAACCTGTGGCTCCATCTCTGTGGCGTTTCTCAGTCTCTGTAAGCTACCTGCACAGTCTGAGAAAAACCTGACCTGTTGCCTCTTACTAACCTCTGCTCTTCCTCGCAGAAGCTTCTGGTTCCTGATCTCCAGCTGTTACCTCTTCAGTCATCCGTCAAACATTTTAATAAACTGTTTTTAGCTCATTTGTCTCCTGAGTTTCTCTGCATGAAAGTCAGGTTGTTGCAAAAATCATGACATCAGCAATTACTTTGCACCACTCTGTTAAACAGCTGATATTAATTTCAAGTGTAGCTTTAAAAATACACTGAATGTCAAAGTGAATGAAAGGCATCCATTCAGCTTTCGGTGTCTAATGCAGGATTTTATGGACAGGCACCAAAACAGGAAATTTATAAATTGAGATTTATTTACTAAATCTGGTAAACCGTAATAAAATACTAATGTTTAAAGTCCAGAGGAGGGAGGGAGGCTTTATAGCAGGGGTATGCAATTCTAGTCCTGGATGGCTGGTATCCAGCACGTTTTAGTTGTTTCCCTGCTCCAACACACCTGAATCAGGGGTTGCATTACCTGTGCAGCAGCTCTGCAGAAGCCTGTTAATTACCTGCTGACTGAAATCAGGTGTGTTGAAACAGAGTTAAAACTAAAACGTGCTGGAAACCGGCCCTCCAGGCCCAGAAGTAAATACCCCCCACCCCACCCCCCACCCCTGCTTTATAGGCACAGAGAACTCCCATCAGGATCCTGGAGACGGCACAAGGAGATGACGACATGAGTGTGCCCTCCCAGATCACACCAACACCACCTGAGCACATGGAGGCATGTGTAAGAAAGAAAAACTGGTGATGTATGAGATCTAAACAAAAAGTATGAATAAAATCTATTTTACAGTTGTTTAACCTGCCGAGCATCGCCTCCCCAAAGAGCAGCACAAAGGTGCAACTGGCTCAGAACCAGGGTGCTCCGTTATGCAGGTGGTCTCCTCCTCCTGCTGACACCCGAGGATTGCCTACAACAAAGGGAAAACTGATATCAATAAAGAAATAATTAAATCAGAGCTAAAAGTTTAATTTTACTGTGACGTTTGAGACTGTGGGAAATAAATGTGGACATGATGATTTTTTATTTTGGGGTCAGTACCTCGGGCGTTTCTCTGCAGCAACATTTTGTCTGGCTGACAATGAAGTAGAAAAGTCACCAGTTGAGGCAGAGTTAGACTATGTTACTCCAGCTAAGCTACGTGTAGCTAAACTAGACACTAGTCACCAGACTATGGTTACTATAGATTTTATTAGATTTAATGAAGGCATCAGCGGTGACATAGAACTTGGTGTGTGTTTAGGTGTGTGTTAGGTGTGAGAAAAAGAAGAGGGTTGTAATTATTTCGATGCCAAACAAGCTTGTAAAATACAAATGCTTGTGGTGCTTTACCTAGATCAGTGCTTCCCACTATCTCTAACCAGTACCTCACAAAATATATCAGTGTCCCACTTCCTCAAGCGCTTATGTGACATCTGTTTCACTTCAGAGATGTAAAAGTGGTATCAAATGTACTGTTCATACAAACTTAAGTAATAAAAACATCAGAGATGGATCTGATTTAGGGTGACAGACAGCACATTGAATCTGATTTGTCCTGTTCTGACAAACAAATGTCAGATCGGTATACTGGTAAGAAATTTGTTATCAAACATACTCACTTAGATAATTATTCAGTCAGAGTTACATCATATAATCCATCCGTTTCACTGAAAAAGGAGCAGGCAGAACTATGAACTTGTTTAGCCCGTCCAAGTAACATGGAATAAAAAATACATGTATCTGTATGTAAATGTAGTTTAAAAGTCTTCCCACAATAGCTCATGTAGATTCGGAGTTATACCATAAAAGTCCTGCAGTTCCACTAAAAGAGTATTTACCTGCAAAACAGCCTGTTAGCTCAGCTTTCTGCTGCTTCCTCTGTAGCGAGTTAGCAGTACACAGGTTAGCTCCAGTAGCTGCAAAGTCTCTGATGTTCCACGGGTTCCTGAAAAATTAGCAAACTTATTAACATAAACTGCAATAATTAATTCCATGAAACCAGTAATGAATATGTTAAGATGAGTTTTTAATACTTCTCTCTGGAACAGTAGACCATTGTCCTGAGGCTAGCACATTAACTTGCTTAGCAGCTAGCTAGTGAGCTAACGTCTGGTTAAAACCAACTTAAAAAGTGGCTTAACTTACAGAGTAACTAAGAAAAGATAAAATATATTATCAATACTCACTTTAGATCCTCAGTAGACACCACAGACAGCCGAAATAATGTGTTTGGGGCTCAAAATTCATGTTGTTGACCAGGTGGAAAAAAATGTCTTGGAGGCTACATCACTGAACTGTCACTCAAGAGAAACCACTGTCCTATGGGAGAGGACTTCTCAGAAGTCCCGCCCACCCGAAAGGGTTGTGTCAGAATTGCAACCAAAAACTCAGGGATTGCAAAGGAGAAAGCCAGAAAGTGTAAGTGCAGATCTGGTAGTGAGAGCAAAGCTGTGAGCAGCGAGAATGAAACTAAGGAAACTGATAACAAAAACACATGGAGGCTAACAGAAAAAGGAAACGTACTTTCTTACTCATTTTAAGAATCTGATTCAGATAGTAAGTTTTACTTTTGAAACATGTTTTTTCCTTTAGTCAATATTTTTGTTCTGTCAGTTTGATCTTCAAAGTGTTTTTCTTGACCCTATTGGCACAAATCTAATCCCAAACAGCTGACGCACAAAACGGCTCTGAACACAAAAAGTGACTTTCTACGAAAACACTGTGATTCCTAAAAAACACGTGAAACTGGGACCAGGAGTAAGATGGTGAGTGTTTAATTAGGACCCTCGGGCACACACACACACACACACACACACGCACGAGCACACACACACACACAGAAAATAAAATTATAACTGTAATTAAAACATCTGTGACTGTGACCTGCGACTGAAGCAGCAGGCCGGCACCTGTCGGGGTTTCCACCGGCTCGTTCCAGCGGGATTAGCCGACCATCGGCCTGATATTTTACAATGAACAATATTTCCTGCCTAAAGCGCGGCGCTGCCCGGGGAAAGAAAACATTTTATCCATAACTACGTCACACCCCAGAACCTGGACTTCTGTCTTGGTTGTCATGCATACCTGTGGCATGCTGTTAATAAGCAGGTTTATTACATAAACAATATCCATAAGGTGGTTAGCATCGTCCATCTATGGCAGAAGTTGGGTTATGTGATCCACCTGAGCTCATTTGGAGGACAGGTGTGGTTTATAAAGCAAGACCTGCTGCAGCAGAGTTTTACAGGTCAGGTAGAGACTTGGTGTTAGTCATGTTGGAGCCGAGCTACAGGAGAGCTTTAGTCAGGACTCTAGCGGTGAGGCCCCTGAACATGTATACGCTAGTGGTGCCGAGCTACATGAGAGCTTTAGTCAGGACTCTAGCGGTGAGGCCCCTGAACATGTATACGCTGGTGGTGGCCAGACTAGAAAGAGCTGGATCAGATCAGGTATCTAGAACTAGATCAGACTGACGTGAGCTGCTGACCTGACTGGAGTCGGGCCGTAGAGGGTCCAGAGAGAGTGCTGTCAGGTTCTGATGGGCCCAAACCAGCTGCTGAGGTTTCCTCTTCATCCACGTGACTGAAAACAAAACAAGTCTTCATCAGCAGATGGAACAGAACCTTGTCCTGTCATCCAATCAGTACCAGTACCAACCTAGTTCCTCTGTCCTGCTGGCCGTCGGCATCAGTCCGAGCCTTCTTCACCTGCAGACACAACAAACACTTTAACTACACACACACACACACACACACACACACACACACACACACACACACACACACACACACACACACACTGAAAACAGAAGAGTTGTGAGACTCACCGGCAGCTCGTGTGGGTCGTCCATGTCTGCAGCCTGACCAAGCTCAAACTAGGTTCAGCAGCCGGACCGCCCGTCTGGACCCTGCTGCACACAAACACGGTGAGAAAACATATCCAGCAAAGCTTTATGTAACTCTGATGTGGACCAATGCTCCATCCGTGTGTTTATCTGTGGATTAGGGATGCAGGCCACCTTACATATGGCCTAACCTACATTCAGGGAAAACATATTCTCTGAGCTGATCAGGTGCAAGCTGTCATATGAACAGGAGCCCCAAGAGGATAAGATCTAACCTGGATTTGTCTCAGCTGGTCCCCAGCCACAGCTGGATGGACGGCGCCTTTATCAGACTGGAATAATGTCCAGAGAACATAGGTCGAGATGCTCCGAGGAAAACGTGCCGCGTTCCCAACAGAGAAGCACAAGGAAAGGCTTGTGCAGGATTTACGGAACGCCCACCTTCTTCAACACTCCCGCTGGACGCCCACCTTCAACTACACTCCCTCTGGACGCCCACCTTCAACACTCCCGCTGGACGCCCACCTTCATCAACACTCCCTCTGGACGCCCACCTTCATCAACACTCCCGCTGGACGCCCACCTTCATCAACACTCCCGCTGGACGCCCACCTTCATCAACACTCCCTCTGGACGCCCACCTTCATCAACACTTCCGCTGGACGCCCACCTTCAACACTCCCGCTGGACGCCCACCTTCATCAACACTCCCTCTGGACGCCCACCTTCATCAACACTCCCGCTGGACGCCCACCTTCATCAACACTCCCGCTGGACGCCCACCTTCATCAACGCTCCCGCTGGACGCCCACCTTCATCAACACTCCCGCTGGACGCCCACCTTCATCAACACTCCCGCTGGACGCCCACCTTCATCAACACTCCCGCTGGACGCCCACCTTCAACACTCCCGCTGGACGCCCACCTTCATCAACACTCCCTCTGGACGCCCACCTTCATCAACACTCCCGCTGGACGCCCACCTTCATCAACACTCCCGCTGGACGCCCACCTTCATCAACGCTCCCGCTGGACGCCCACCTTCATCAACACTCCCGCTGGACGCCCACCTTCATCAACACTCCCTCTGGACGCCCACCTTCATCAACACTCCCGCTGGACGCCCACCTTCATCAACGCTCCCGCTGGACGCCCACCTTCATCAACACTCCCGCTGGACGCCCACCTTCATCAACACTCCCGCTGGACGCCCACCTTCATCAACACTCCCGCTGGACGCCCACCTTCATCAACACTTCCGCTGGACGCCCACCTTCATCAACACTCCCTCTGGACGCCCACCTTCATCAACACTCCCTCTGGACGCCCACCTTCATCAACACTCCCGCTGGACGCCCACCTTCATCAACACTCCCTCTGGACGCCCACCTTCATCAACACTCCCTCTGGACGCCCACCTTCATCAACACTCCCTCTGGACGCCCACCTTCATCAACACTCCCGCTGGACGCCCACCTTCATCAACACTCCCTCTGGACGCCCACCTTCATCAACACTCCCGCTGGACGCCCACCTTCATCAACACTCCCGCTGGACGCCCACCTTCATCAACACTCCCGCTGGACGCCCACCTTCATCAACACTCCCGCTGGACGCCCACCTTCAACACTCCTGCTGGACGCCCACCTTCATCAACACTCCTGCTGGACGCCCACCTTCAACACTCCCGCTGGACGCCCACCTTCATCAACACTCCCGCTGGACGTCCACCTTCAACACTCCTGCTGGACGCCCACCTTCATCAACACTCCTGCTGGACGCCCACCTTCATCAACACTCCTGCTGGACGCCCACCTTCAACACTCCCGCTGGACGCCCACCTTCATCAACACTCCCTCTGGACGTCCACCTTCAACACTCCTGCTGGACGCCCACCTTCATCAACACTCCTGCTGGACGCCCACCTTCATCAACACTCCTGCTGGACGCCCACCTTCAACACTCCCTCTGGACGCCCACCTTCATCAACACTCCCTCTGGACGCCCACCTTCATCAACACTCCCTCTGGACGCCCACCTTCATCAACACTCCCTCTGGACGCCCACCTTCAACACTCCTGCTGGACGCCCACCTTCATCAACACTCCTGCTGGACGCCCACCTTCAACACTCCCGCTGGACGCCCACCTTCATCAACACTCCCGCTGGACGCCCACCTTCATCAACACTCCCGCTGGACGCCCACCTTCATCAACACTCCCTCTGGAAGCCCACCTTCATCAACACTCCCGCTGGACGCCCACCTTCATCAACACTCCCGCTGGACGCCCACCTTCATCAACACTCCCGCTGGACGCCCACCTTCATCAACACTCCCGCTGGACGCCCACCTTCATCAACACTCCCGCTGGACGCCCACCTTCTTCAACACTCCCGCTGGACGCCCACCTTCATCAACACTCCCGCTGGACGCCCACCTTCATCAACACTCCCGCTGGACGCCCACCTTCATCAACACTCCCGCTGGACGCCCACCTTCATCAACACTCCCGCTGGACGTCCACCTTCAACACTCCTGCTGGACGCCCACCTTCATCAACACTCCCGCTGGACGCCCACCTTCATCAACACTCCCGCTGGACGCCCACCTTCATCAACACTCCCGCTGGACGCCCACCTTCATCAACACTCCTGCTGGACGCCCACCTTCATCAACACTCCCGCTGGACGCCCACCTTCATCAACACTCCCTCTGGACGCCCACCTTCATCAACACTCCTGCTGGACGCCCACCTTCTTCAACACTCCTGCTGGACGCCCACCTTCAACACTCCCGCTGGACGCCCACCTTCATCAACACTCCCTCTGGACGCCCACCTTCAACACTCCTGCTGGACGCCCACCTTCATCAACACTCCTGCTGGACGCCCACCTTCAACACTCCCGCTGGACGCCCACCTTCATCAACACTCCCGCTGGACGCCCACCTTCATCAACACTCCCGCTGGACGCCCACCTTCATCAACACTCCCTCTGGATGCCCACCTTCATCAACACTCCCGCTGGACGCCCACCTGCATCAACACTCCCGCTGGACGCCCACCTTCATCAACACTCCCGCTGGACGCCCACCTTCATCAACACTCCCGCTGGACGCCCACCTTCAACACTCCCTCTGGACGCCCACCTTCATCAACACTCCCGCTGGACGCCCACCTTCATCAACACTCCCGCTGGACGCCCACCTTCAACACTCCCGCTGGACGCCCACCTTCATCAACACTCCTGCTGGACGCCCACCTTCATCAACACTCCCTCTGGACGCCCACCTTCATCAACACTCCCTCTGGACGCCCACCTTCAACACTCCCGCTGGACGCCCACCTTCATCAACACTCCCTCTGGACGCCCACCTTCAACACTCCCGCTGGACGCCCACCTTCATCAACACTCCCTCTGGACGCCCACCTTCAACACTCCCGCTGGACGCCCACCTTCATCAACACTCCCGCTGGACGCCCACCTTCATCAACGCTCCCGCTGGACGCCCACCTTCATCAACACTCCCGCTGGACGCCCACCTTCATCAACACTCCCGCTGGACGCCCACCTTCATCAACACTCCTGCTGGACGCCCACCTTCATCAACACTCCCGCTGGACGCCCACCTTCATCAACACTCCCGCTGGACGCCCACCTTCAACACTCCCGCTGGACGCCCACCTTCATCAACACTCCCTCTGGACGCCCACCTTCATCAACACTCCCTCTGGACGCCCACCTTCAACACTCCCGCTGGACGCCCACCTTCATCAACACTCCCTCTGGACGCCCACCTTCAACACTCCCGCTGGACGCCCACCTTCATCAACACTCCCGCTGGACGCCCACCTTCATCAACACTCCCGCTGGACGCCCACCTTCTTCAACACTCCCGCTGGACGCCCACCTTCTTCAACACTCCCGCTGGACGCCCACCTTCATCAACACTCCCGCTGGACGCCCACCTTCATCAACACTCCCGCTGGACGTCCACCTTCAACACTCCTGCTGGACGCCCACCTTCAACACTCCCGCTGGACGCCCACCTTCAACACTCCTGCTGGACGCCCACCTTCATCAACACTCCCTCTGGACGCCCACCTTCATCAACACTCCCTCTGGACGCCCACCTTCAACACTCCCGCTGGACGCCCACCTTCATCAACACTCCCTCTGGACGCCCACCTTCAACACTCCCGCTGGACGCCCACCTTCATCAACACTCCCTCTGGACGCCCACCTTCATCAACACTCCCTCTGGACGCCCACCTTCAACACTCCCGCTGGACGCCCACCTTCAACACTCCCTCTGGACGCCCACCTTCATCAACACTCCCTCTGGACGCCCACCTTCAACACTCCCGCTGGACGTCCACCTTCATCAACACTCCCTCTGGACGCCCACCTTCAACGCTCCCGCTGGACGCCCACCTTCAACGCTCCCGCTGGACGCCCACCTTCAACAACCCTAAGTTGGTTTGGGAATTGTTCGGGAAGCCCGAAACTTGGGAGACGCCAGAGGAGCCCTCACCCCCCAAAGATAATTTCCTGCCAATGATCTCAGCGTTCTGTTCTGATCACCGGGGCGTCTGTGGAGTTGGCCCCATAAATGGTGGGTTGCTGGTTTGAACCCAGGCTCCGTCAGGGTGTCTAACCCCCTGCAGGTGACTTCTGCCAGTGTCCCCCAGGACGACTGTGAAGTCATCATCACCATCATGGGTGAAAAGGCAGTCCTGACTCGGGAAGGTGCGACAGGTACAGGTGGTTTACCGTCTCCGGTCTGTGACACTAGAAGAGGACTTCGGTTCTGGTCTTATTCCTAATCCCGCCTCATCTGGACAGGAATACGCCAGAACATGGCGTGAAAGATGCTGAAGGGTCCTCTCGGTACCAAGACCGGTTAGTGCTGATCTCTGATTGGACCTGAAGACTGATGAGGACCCATGTGAGTGCAGGTAAACATCCTGCTCAGCTCACCTGTACTCACCACCTACTCCAGCAAATAAACCAGGCCGAGCGCAGCGCTGCGACCCGTTTGGACCTGAACTCGCTCAGAACCTGAAGCTGGACTCGAACCGCACCGAGGGAGGGCACTGTAACCAGCTATTAGTCTGCACCCGTCTGTTAATCCGGTGTCTACAAACGTTAGTGTCTTTGACCGGTACCGTCAGCAGCTCTCGCTCGGTCTGCGATTAACGGACCCGTCTAATTACCGCGCTCCGGTCAAACCAGGAGGTGGAAAGTTTCTGCTCCAGCCATTAGACGGGACCTGCAGCCCTGGAAGCATCTCGGTCCTGAGTCGACCGACAGGAACGCGGACCGAAGAGAGAAGCTTCCCGGTTAACGGCAGCCGTTCGCCGGCCTTACCATTGAAGCAGCAGGAAGTTGTTGTATCGCTCCTAAACGGGAAAACACGGAATTCCACCCAGCTTTGTCTGTTGTTAGGGAGCACTATCTGGCAGGAAGTTTACGTTACGTATACTGTCGCGCATGCGCGGAGTTCTGGATTTGCAAGTGCTCTTGGCGGGAAGGGAGCTGATGTCCAGGTGATGTCACCTGCTTAAGGGTCAGAGCAGAGGAAAGACGTCATCAACTTTTAGGAAACCTACATCCACCCTGGTCGTCATCCCTGGGGTCAGAGGTCATGTCCAGACCAGAACCCGATCAAGACACTGGTGGGACATTCAGAGGCCCAGGTGCCTCTGCTAAAGGAGGTTCTATTAGACCAGCAGGTGGACTCAGGAACCAGGTGATCGTTTTTATACTGATGATTAAAGACAAATTTTATTTCTGACCGATTCCAGGTCAGCTGACTTGTTAAACAGCTGATCACAGACTTTATTTGTGTTTCTCACCGATTCCAGGTCAGCTGACTCGTTAAACAGCTGATTTACAGACTTTGTTTCTGACCGATTCCAGGTCAGCTGACTTGTTAAACAGCTGATCACAGACTTTATTTGTGTTTCTCACCGATTCCAGGTCAGCTGACTCGTTAAACAGCTGATGTACAGACTTTGTTTCTGACCCATTCCAGGTCAGCTGACTTGTTAAACAGCTGATCACAGACTTTATTTGTGTTTCTCACCGATTCCAGGTCAGCTGACTCGTTAAACAGCTGATTTACAGACTTTATTTCTGACCGATTCCAGGTCAGCTGACTTGTTAAACAGCTGATTTACAGACTTTATTTCTGACCGATTCCAGGTCAGCTGACTCGATAAACAGCTGATTTACAGACTTTGTTTCTGACCGATTCCAGGTCAGCTGACTTGTTAAACAGCTGATCACAGACTTTGTTTCTGACGATTCCAGGTCAGCTGACTTGTTAAACAGCTGATTTACAGACTTTATTTCTGACCAATTCCAGGTCAGCTGACTCGTTAAACAGCTGATTTACAGACTTTATTTCTGACCGATTCCAGGTCAGCTGACTGATAAACAGCTGATTTACAGACTTTATTTCTGACCGATTCCAGGTCAGCTGACTCGTTAAACAGCTGATTTACAGACTTAGTTTCTGACCGATTCCAGGTCAGCTGACTCGATAAACAGCTGATTTACAGACTTTGTTTCTGACTGATTCCAGGTCAGCTGACTCGTTAAACAGCTGATTTACAGACTTTTTTCTGACCGATTCCAGGTCAGCTGACTCGTTAAACAGCTGATTTACAGACTTTATTTCTGACCGATTCCAGGTCAGCTGACTCGTTAAACAGCTGATTTACAGACTTTTTTCTGACCAATTCCAGGTCAGCTGACTCGTTAAACAGCTGATTTACAGACTTTGTTTCTGACAGATTGCAGGTCAGCTGACTCGTTAAACAGCTGATCACAGACTTTATTTTTGTTTCTGACTGATTCCAGGTCAGCTGACTCATTAAACAGCTGATCACAGACTTTGTTTCTGACCGATTCCAGGTCAGCTGACTCGTTAAACTGCTGATTTACAGACTTTGTTTCTGACCGATTCCAGGTCAGCTGACTTGTTAAACAGCTGATCACAGACTTTGTTTCTGACCGATTCCAGGTCAGCTGACTCGTTAAACAGCTGATTTACAGACTTTGTTTCTGACCGATTCCAGGTCAGCTGACTCGTTAAACAGCTGATCACAGACTTTATTTTTGTTTCTGACTGATTCCAGGTCAGCTGACTCGTTAAACAGCTGATCACAGACTTTATTTTTGTTTCTGACTGATTCCAGGTCAGCTGACTCGTTAAACAGCTGATTTACAGACTTTGTTTCTGACCAATTCCAGGTCAGCTGACTTGTTAAACAGCTGATTTACAGACTTTGTTTCTGACCGATTCCAGGTCAGCTGACTTGTTAAACAGCTGATTTACAGACTTTGTTTCTGACCGATTCCAGGTCAGCTGACTTGTTAAACAGCTGATTTACAGACTTTATTTCTGACCGATTCCAGGTCAGCTGACTTGTTAAGCAGCTGATCACAGACTTTATTTGTGTTTCTCACCGATTCCAGGTCAGCTGACTCGATAAACAGCTGATTTACAGACTTTATTTCTGACCGATTGCAGGTCATCTGACTCGATAAACAGCTGATTTACAGACTTTATTTCTGACCGATTCCAGGTCAGGTGACTCGTTAAACAGCTGATTTACAGACTTTGTTTCTGACCGATTCCAGGTCAGCTGACTCGTTAAACAGCTGATTTACAGACTTTGTTTCTGACCGATACCAGGTCAGCTGACTCGTTAAACAGCTGATTTACAGACTTTATTTCTGACCGATTCCAGGTCAGCTGACTCGATAAACAGCTGATTTACAGACTTTGTTTCTGACCGATTCCAGGTCAGCTGACTCGATAAACAGCTGATTTACAGACTTTGTTTCTGACTGATTCCAGGTCAGCTGACTCGTTAAACAGCTGATTTACAGACTTTATTTCTGACCGATTCCAGGTCAGCTGACTTGTTAAACAGCTGATCACAGACTTTGTTTCTGACTGATTCCAGGTCAGCTGACTCGATAAACAGCTGATTTACAGACTTTGTTTCTGACCGATTCCAGGTCAGCTGACTCGTTAAACAGCTGATTTACAGACTTTGTTTCTGACTGATTCCAGGTCAGCTGACTCGTTAAACAGCTGATTTACAGACTTTGTTTCTGACCGATTCCAGGTCAGCTGACTTGTTAAACAGCTGATCACAGACTTTGTTTCTGACCGATTCCAGGTCAGCTGACTCGATAAACAGCTGATTTACAGACTTTGTTTCTGACCGATTCCAGGTCAGCTGACTTGTTAAACAGCTGATCACAGACTTTGTTTCTGACCGATTCCAGGTCAGCTGACTTGTTAAACAGCTGATCACAGACTTTGTTTCTGACCGATTCCAGGTCAGCTGACTCGATAAACAGCTGATTTACAGACTTTGTTTCTGACTGATTCCAGGTCAGCTGACTCGTTAAACAGCTCATTTACAGACTTTATTTCTGACCGATTCCAGGTCAGCTGACTTGTTAAACAGCTGATCACAGACTTTGTTTCTGACCGATTCCAGGTCAGCTGACTTGTTAAACAGCTGATCACAGACTTTGTTTCTGACCGATTCCAGGTCAGCTGACTTGTTAAACAGCTGATCACAGACTTTGTTTCTGACCGATTCCAGGTCAGCTGACTCGTTAAACAGCTGATTTACACATAAACAAGTACATGACATCACTGATTCGGAACCGCGTGTTTGATTCCATAAATTCTGAGAATTTATCAGAACTGGCCAAAATAATGTCTGGAACATCTGCTCCAAGGCCCGGTTCTCCTGGCCAACAGAACTAGCGGTAACCTTTAGGTGGTGCCGATTGGTTGTCAGGAACAGCTGATGAGACAGAACCCATGACCTTTGATGACCTTTGGTTCTGTGTGATTGGATGATGGAGGACAATCCCAGTTAAACCATAACAGGTTCTGGTGAAGACAAACGGGTCACAGAACTCGTTTCCACATTAAACCAACAGACTAAACAAAGAAGGCATCGACTCAGAGGTCCAAACTACTGGAGCACGTTCTTTGAGGACAGCTCTGCCACCTGGACCAGTTCCTGCTTTAGGCACTTCATATCCCACTCTAGCAGCTGGGGGCTCCAGAACCAGCACCAGCAGGTTCTATCATCCTGGATCTGCTCCACACTTGGCACGTCTTATTGATCTTGATGGTTCAGGCTGACTGGACCTGTGGTGCTGGACTACCCACAAGCTGCTGCGCTGAGGTCCATGTCTCAGAGTCCAGACTTCTGGTTCCTGTCCCTTCCTGGGACCGAGACGGGGTTGCTCACATGAAGGATTGTTCCTCCGGCGGTCCGTAAGAAAATCCTGGGAATGCTCCGGCTGCTTCCTTCATGCTGCTGGTCACTGCCATGGAGTCGCTGCACAGAGACGAGGACACAGGCAGGTGGGTGAACTCCGGGTCGAAGTGCCTCAGGTCAGTGGGACTGGACTGGAACAGAGACAGAACCACATGAAGGTCCAACAAAACCAGACTGATGATCAGGTCGCACTAAATGTTTAACTTCTGCTGGAACACAGAACCATCTGGACTTCTAGTTCTGGTCATAGTGACTCTGAGTTCTAGATGTTTCTGCAAAGCTCAGGTTCAAACTCCGGCCCTCGGGCCAGATCTGGCCGGAGCAGTTTCTATGGCCCGTGAGGTCATCTATGACACGTGTATTAGACTGGGCCCACCTGGGCCCGCTGATGCATACGCAGCTAATACCATGAATCCCAGAATGCTTTGCTACGCTAGCGCACCCCCTCCTTTTCTGTTGGCAGTCATTAGCATCCACGCTAACAGAGAGACTGAAAAAAACTGCGTTTGCTCCGTGGGTTTCGGACTTTGAAGGCCAGAGATGGAGACCGGTCAGTCATCGGCTGGAGGCGGAAAACGCACCAACCAGACGGAGCCGGCTGAACTCCGGCGTGGTGACACGTTAAGGTCAGAGGATGACTCTGAGGCTGCTGCACGGTTCCCCCACCCCGCTCAGATCGTGAGCAGCAGCACACCGCTCTGCGATGCGGAGCTTCCTCAGCTCCCAGCCTGAGCTCAGAGATACCAGCTGTCTAGCTGGAACCAGTGAGTGGTGTAGAAGTGTTCCTGTGAGCCTTTTCTCCAGTAAAGCACGAGGGTGAAGGTGCTCCATCATTATTTCTGCGGTTGGCCTGTGAAGACGGCTTTAGAGACAATAGCACCATCGGTTCTGACGCTGAACTGACGTTAGTAGGTGCAGTTGGCTCATTTCTCTATGAATAAGGCGTTTTTAACCCGAACCCACTACTCTGGTTCTGGACGTCCGGGTCTGGACCCTACATACCACAGACGGGACAAACGGAGGTGGGATCTTCTTCGCCATCAGCTCCTCCCAGCTGACCGGAGAGAAGAAAGAGTGGTACTTGAGTTCCAGCTGGAGGGAAGCAGAGCTATGGTGAGCGACTGATGGAGAACCAGAACGCAGAACAAGGATCAGCTGTGAGAACTTACAAAGTCGTCTTTGGCTCCGAGCCGTCTGGTGCGGTCCTTCTGCAGGAGCCCCTCCAGCAGCTCCCGGCCTGCGTTGGAGACATTGGGCTTCAGAACTGGAGTTTGGTGCAGGATGTTGTTGTACATCTCCGCTGTGTTCCGGCTGTAGAAGGGAGGCTGAGGAAGGAGCGCAGGTCCGGTTAATTTAGGGTCACGAGAGCAGAACAGAGTCTGTGGTTCTACTCACCAGTCCGTACAGCATCTCATAGAGCACTGACCCGAGGCACCACCAGTCCACTGTGCGGTCATACGCCTGCTTCTGCAGAACCTCTGGAGCCAAATACTGCAGGAACCAAAGAAGAACATCAAGACACGTCCAGCAGAAAGAGGACTTCCTGATTTGGGTGTTGAACAAACCTCAGGAGTCCCACAGAATGTTGTTGTGGTTCCGGTGGGCTCAAGTCCTTCTTTACACAGTCCAAAGTCTGTCAGGACAACGTGACCCTGTGAGTCCAGAAGGATGTTCTCAGGCTTCAGGTCCCTGTAGAAGACATAATTAGCTGTTGTGCTCCGTGTGTCCACCAGTGGGCGCTGTAGGATCCCTGCTCACCTGTACACAATGTGCAGCGAGTGCAGGTAACCCAGAGCACTGGCGATTTCAGCAGCATAGAACCGGGCCCTGGGCTCCAGGAAGACCCGTTCTCTCTGAAGGTGGTAGAAGAGCTGCCGAGGACAAACATCTGTTAGCACCGCTCTCCGTCTGCAGCACTCTCGAGCAGCAGAGAGCTCACCTCGCCCCCGTTCACAAAGTCCAGGACGAAGTAGAGCTTGTCCACCGTCTGGAAGGAGCAGTGGAGTCCCACCAGGAACGGGTGCTTGATGTTCTTCATCAGGACGCTGCGCTCAGCCATGATGTGCTTTTGCTGCAGGACAGTCAGAGACAGTTAGGGGACAGTTGAGTGGACATGCTGCTTCAGGGGGACCAGGACTTGGCTGACTGACCTCCTTCTTCTTCAGAATGATTTTCTTCTGCAGCACCTTGACAGCAAAGTACCTGGTGGTCTCCTTGTGCCGAGCCAGGAGGACCTGTGTGGACAGAGACATGGTGTCATGAGGACAGAGACAGGTGTGGGACAGCGTGGTCGTGAGCGTGGCGGTGTGAAGAGGTGTGGGGCCGTCTCTGCGCTCTCACAGACTTTCTTTCATCTTGAATGTAACTTTTTTTATACCGATGGGGTTTTTTCCACGAGCCGCTCCCGAAGGTGTCTGTCCTCCACGGCGGTCTGAGCTTCGGTGGAGAGAAGCTCCCGAGCTCCACACCGCTCCGGTTTGCCGTCTCGGCTGATTCTGTTGACAAGCTGTGGACATTCCACACACGACATCATCTTCTGATGCTCGAAGGCGTAATCTTCAGTCAGACGTCTGCCGTTGTGGTGATATCACCATCGAGCTTGGCAGCAACAGTCCCACATCGCCATGCCGCCACTGCGCTGGCTCCTAACAGTACAGGTCAGTCGTCGTGGACTGGTGTGACCACCTTCGCTTGAACACCAGAGGAAATGGTGACTGACGTCCAGAGAAACCCTCCTCCTCACTCACCAGGAAACATCCAGAGAGCAGACACTGAGGCGGTGGATACCTTTACGCACCTGGGTGTTTCATTTCATTTTAATTCAACACTTTATTAAACAGGGAAAGGTTCAAAACAATCAGGCCTGACTCAGTCCAACACCGTTTTTCAGCAGGTTCCTGTTCTGCACAACAACTGCAACCACATCAGCACACCTGCTGTAGCAGATGAAACACCTGCTCCAGGTGGATTGGACTGGAACAGCACAGCCTCCATAAGTAGGAGGGCGCTGCTGCTGTAAACGGGGAGCTCCTCCCATGAAGGAAGTAGATCCAGGAAGCGGCTAGTCTCGTCTTGGCATTGCCAGCCCGTGTGCTCCGGCTGCGTTTCACTGCGCGATCGGCTCTGCTCCAGTGGTGGTAGGTACCTCGACAGCTCCTAGGCTTGGCACTAAGGACCTGCTTCTCAGGCTGTGTTGTGCACGCTCATGGACGTAAGTTCACTTTAGAAGTGGGGGGGACACGGGGGGGGGGGGGGGGGGGGGGTATCTTTACAGTGTGTTCTAACGGGAAACGGGCTTCAACACAAACGGCTGTTTTCTGCTTGGTCCTGGAGCTCAACCAGTGTCAGTTTAATATGAAGTAATATTGTTTTGGACGGTGAAACGTGCAGGGGTCAAAACTTGACTTTGGAAAAAGTGGGGGGGGGGCATGTCCCCCCTGTCCCCCCCCCCCAAAAAAAATTACGTCCATGTGCACGCTACAGCTTGGGCAATAGTTGTTGGTGTTGGGCGTGACGGCATCGCTAGCCTCTGGGTAGATGGAGCGTAGGGGGATGACATGTGGGTGGAGCATTCTGAGGCCAGCTCTGCGTGAACGCAGGGATGGACTGAATCCCCGCTGCTGCTGGGCAGGAAGTTCCCTTCTGGCTCGGGCGTTATTAGCTGGAGCGCTCCGTGGTCCGGCCGGCGGCGCCGCTGTTTCGCTCGCTTGATTTTGTCTCAAAATAGTTGTTCCAAGGAAGTTTCCCTGGCGCGTGGCTGGAGCCCCGGAGGAGAACATCTACTTTTTACTGTATTGTTTGTTTGTTTGTTTGTAATTCTTTGTTTTCTTTGTGCAGGCTGAGGCAGGAGTGTGGTCTCGGAGGCGGCGGTCCCGTTTCCTGTGTGTTGGTGTGAATGTGCACTTGCCTCGGGTGTTGTTGGGGTTTGTCTGCCTCCGTGGTCCCCGGCCTCCCTCTCCAGCCTTTTTGATCTGGCTGTTGTTTAGCAGCAGTGCATCATTTACTCTGGGACGGAGTGGGAATCCATTTAATTTAAGAGTTAGATAGATTTCCCTTGTTTTATCACTTATTTGATTAATGCTAGTGTTTGATAACGTTGCACAGACGGATTTTACTAACGGACATTGTTACCGCTTGTCTAACTAATAAATGATTGTGATTTCTGAAACCACGTCTCACTTCACTGGAAACGGATCTACGTGCTTACTGTTTAACCCTTTCCTTGGGCGACGTTCCCAAGGTGGCGTTGTCGGTAATAATCGACTACTCTGACTACGGAAGTGATGGCTATAGGTCGTCTGTCAGAATTTAAGGGTTTCCTCACCACGTGGACTCGAGTAGGTGCAGCTGCCATACTTGGTGTCAGCAGGTTATAAGACCGCTCATGTATCGCCACAATACTAAAGCAACGCAATCATAAAGTGTTGACCTCAACAGCAAACTGAGCCGGTCCAACAACACAGATGCTGTATAAGAAGGGCCAAAGCCGCCTCCTGAGGAGGCTGAGGTCCTTCAGAGGTAATTCTGCTGCTAAAATCCTGTCGTCTCTCTGTGATCCACTCTGCTGGTCTGTCGGGGGGCAGGCGGCTCTGACTGACACAGGAAGACACTGAACAAGCTAGTTCACAAAGCTAGCTCGGTTCTGAGCTGCTAACTGGACTCAGTTGAGGAGATGTGTGAAAGGAGGATGCTGGGGAAGATGACCTCCATCTTAAAGCCCCTCCCACCCACTGCATCCCACTGTGGAGACCATGGACAGCTCCTTCAGAGGCAGACGGAGACATCCCAGATGTAAACCAGAACGCTACCGTAGGTCCTCCATCCCCTCTGCAGTACGAGTGTAGACCTCCTCAGTTTAACTGGTACTGGCGTCATCCTGGTACACAATACCACCAATGCAGTACTCAGTATGTGTTCAATACTCGTGCAATACCAGATGTACATAGTATGTACCTTATGCTACCTAGTTCTAGAACCCAAGTTTTTCATTGTTATTTGTGGTTTTTAGAGGTCGAAGGTTACAACGCCAGCGTGCTGCCTGTGTGTACGCGTGTACCTGTTATTAGTCTTCTTCTCTAAGTGTTGGTGCTGCGGTCACCAGTGGATCTGCCCACTGTGGACCAGTAGTCTGTTCTAGTCTGGTTCATCATGGCAGCTGTTGCCCTGAGTTGCCGCCACGGTGCGTCTTTTTGAAGACGGACGGACTCACCTTCCCAAAGCTGCCTTTGCCGATGATTCTGAGGTAGTCGAAGTCAGAAGGTTTGATCCTGATCCGGAGACACAAACAGATCCGGATTATGTGTAAGCTCCAGGTTCAGGTTTGATTCAACTGCAGATACTCACTGAGTTTCTTCTGCCAGCGATCCACGGGGGGTCCCAAACATCTGGAACATCAGGAAATAGTCAGAAAAAGTTTCAGTATTTTTTTAAAATGAAATAAGAAGAATCTTACTGGACTTTCTCCTGCTGCCTCCTGGTTCTGGTCCTGGTTCTGATCGATCTTCAGGAAGTTGTTCACCTCGATGCTGAAGGACACAGAAAGGATGAGGGATGAGTTCGGATCAGAACTCAGACAGGTGACCTGTCTGAGGCACCTGTCCTCCAAGATCAAATGGAGGAGACAGATGTGATTTCCAGCACCTGACCCGGTTCTGGCTGGACTCAGAACCAGGTGATGAGTCTGATCCTCCCGGAGGGATTAGATTAGATCTATTCTTACTCCCTGGACAGCAGATTAGCAGAATGTCCTGCCAGACTCAGGGACTGATTGGATTGTCCTGAGCAGGCGGGCATGAATGAACCAGAACCAGATCCGGTCCAGGACCGGTTCACATCTACAGACTTACTGCTGGCAGATGTGTGGAGTGGAGACCAGCTTCTGGATGAAGTCATTCAGACCCATCTTCCTCTCCTTGATGAAAGCTGTGGAGCAGAATGACAGAAAACAGCTGTCAGAACCGAGCCGTGATCCGTTACGCAACCAGCTGCGGCTCATTCATCCTCAGACGCATTTTCCATTCAGGGCGCATGCGCACAGCTCCAGGATTTAAACGTTAGATGAGGAAACAGCTCGTTGTTCCGTTACTTTCGTACAAATAAACTCGGTTTGTCCAAAAGGCGCGCGCCACCGTGCGCGTGCAGCTCACCGGTGAGAACTGCGACGATCCCCCGCATCTTGCAGTAGGTCAGGTCACATCCCGCCTCCGTCACGGCCATCCTGGTCCCGCAACGGGAATCCGGAAAAACACGAAGCAGATAAACAACCCGGTTCTGGTCCCGGTACCGTTGCAGCTCTGACTGCTGACTGATGAAGCGCAAGGGCCGTTTATACTGCACACGTGGTCCTGCAGGCCCCGCCCACTGTTGCGTCACAGGTAACCACAGCAACAGGAGTCGGCCAGTGACGTCCCGGGATCCCGTTGCGGCAGGAGGAGGATGACGTCAGGCAGTCCGGTTCTCTGTTCTACCAGAACAGAACCGCGGTCCGTTACGTCATGCGCTGCTAGCTAGGTGTGTGTCCGTTACTCAACAGCAGCACAAAGAAAGCCTTGCTGTCATCACAACACTAAATCACAGGTTTTAACTGTATTTCTGGTTTTGAGCCTAATCTCCTCCACTTCCGGTCGGCTCATGGGTCCCGGAAGTACAAAGACGTGAACATGCTAAAGAACCTGAACCGCTTCGCCTTACTCGCTGGATCTCACACATGTTGTACTTTAGTTTACGTGCCAGCGATGGGGTTCGACCAGCCAGTCTTGTACTTTGCCATTTATCAGCTTGTAAATGTTGGTAATTAGCATGACTACAAATCAGACATCAGTACGTCGCACAAATGACTTCACCACACAAGCTCCATTTTCCTCTGCTCTTCTGGCTCCATGGCTACAGTTTGGTGAAGTGCATTTGCAGTCCTGGACTAATTTTCACACAAAACCTAAAAACTTTTTTCTCGTTCACATATCAGCACGTTCTTGGAATCAGAACGTGTTTTTAAAATTGAAGAACATCCTATGAGAAATCCATAACCAGCGGGATTAGGAAATGGCTTTCATAGCCTCGTTGACTTGCATTCATTCTCTTTTGTTCTTCAGGGGACCCGTGGTCCAGAAGTAGACGGGTGTGACTTTTTCACTTTTTTGAGCCGATTTTCCACTCGTGCGAGAATCCACGACATCGGGGCGAGTTTAGCGCCGAGCGGTCGTGTAGTGTACAGGGGGTTACGAGAGGCGATTAACACCACGTGACCAGCTACCGATGAGCAGTCGTGAGCTCGCACGGACTTCTGGCGTGTTTAATATTTTGCTCGTCCCTCGTGAGGGTATCGCACTGTTGAAGCGGCGCTGCGAGCAGCTGCGACCCAAAAAGTATCAGAACCGCTCACGGCGCATGCGCAATCCTGCATCAACACCGCTCGCTCGCTAATTCCCTGATAACACACGCTGTTCGTTTTTGTTTCTACACGTTTTTTTACTCACAAAGATTGTCAAGAAAGCGTGTTTGTCGTGTTCGTGTCAAATTAAACTGATCACTAAACACAGATTTACTTTCTTTATTTCGTTTCCTCATCCAACCCCCATAAATCCCTGTGTGTCCTCCTGCAGCGCTCCCAAAGGACAACAGGCAAAACAAGACACAACAGTCTGGCGTGTTGAGTAAAAACTGCTATTTTTAGGGCCGACGTGTTGCTACCAGACGTGCAGTGTGAGCACACGACTCGTGAGATCTGCCCTGTGAGGAAGTCGTACAGTTTGAGCTGAAGCTGAACGCTGCGAGTGAAAAAGTCGCACAGTGTCCGCCCGGCTTTAGGCTCCCTATAATGGTTTGTAACACAATGCATTATGGGATTCTTTGCTGTCTCAAGTCCACAAAAGGATGCATCCTTGCATCCTCGATGCAATGGGCGGAGCAAGAACACATTGAGAAGTTTGAGCGAACTTGCCATGAAGCATACTTAGGACTGGAACAGTACTTGGGCCAACGTTGATGCTGTTTCACCAGTTCAGACGAGTACGCATACTGAGAAATGGCCAGCATGACACACCTCAGCTAACCGGGCTTTTCCTGTCACTGTTCAGTCGTCTGGGCTGGATGTCGAACCGCTCCGTTTCAGAAAGTTCCCAAACAGATTCCGACTCAGCTAGTAGATCCAACACCTTCAACAGGGTCAAGTCCCACGACACCAGCACCTCCCAGGTTCTGTTCACTTTCTGTGAATAATTGAAGTTGACATCTGAAGTCAACCAGCACCAGAACACAAATGGCCCGAGTCTCAGAACCAGGGTTGGCAGAAGACCCGTTTAGAAGTGCAGAACTTGTGTAATGGTACAAGTTCAATGGCCTGTATTTGATTTAACACCTTCTAGAGTCCTGGAACCCCCCAAGGCTCTTTACAACACAATCAGTCATTCACCCTTTCACACCCTGGTGGTGATGAGCTACGATGTAGCCACAGCTGCCCTGGGGCGCTCTGACAGAGGCGAGGCTGCCGTACACACATACCACCGGGCCCTGCGACCACCACCAGCAGGTGAGGAGGGTTTAGCCTCTTGCCCAAGGACACAACAGTAGCGACAGACTGAGCGGGGCTCAAACCTGCAACCTTCCGATTACGGGGCGAGCACTTAACTCCTGTGCCACCGTCGCCCAGGAGTCTCATGTCTCTGCAACGGACCAGAACATCAGACATGCCACACTAGAACTGAACCAGAACCAATAAGAATTAAAGCAGGATCCGGACCGCGGCTCCGGAGCGTTCAGGTTATAACGTACTGGAGTCCGACACGCTACACAGATGAGTGGAAAACCTTCATCCAGCTGCTGATCTTTCCAGGAGCCAAAGTCTATCAGGTTCATCCTGAGGTCAGAGGTCAACAACAAAAGGTCAGACTGAGACATCCGGCTGCTGAAGGAGGTTCTGTTACATCAGCAGGTGGAGGGAGATCTTCTCCCCCGGTTCACTTGGAACGAAGAGTGAAGCACAGACATAAGTTCTTCCAAGGTTCTGTTTCTGGGTCCACCAGGATTAAAGGAGCTCTTACCTGTGAAGGATCTCTTGCTGGTCTTCATATTCTGCTGCAGATATAATCCTCCTCTTTGCTTTTTAAACAATGGCTTCCCTCCACTGCATCTCCCGGTGACCTACCAAGCAGCTGAAAGAGCAGACCTCTGACACACCTCAACCCCCCTCCTCTTTCCTCCACCTGAGGGACAAGAACCAAACAGGAGCAGGTGTCTGGTTACGGCTCTCGTGAGAGTGCGAGACCTGCCAGAGGACAAACTGTCTCTATGACATGGAAACCACCCGAGGGACCCACAGAGGCTTTAGAAACTGCTTTGATTGGTCACTACAAACATGTTACTGGTTCCTTGCAACCCTGTTTGTCCGACCTGTTAAACCTAACCTTTAAGTCAGGTGACACCACAGGAGCAGAATGGTGTTCACGCTTACTGACCACCGCCGCCACCCACACAAAAACCTGAGCTGAGTAGGAGAGCGAGAACAACATGAAGTCCACCGAGTTCGACATCATCTACGTGTCACAGACCACACCAAACATCACTAAGTTACAGACGCATTTTAACTCACTGAGACACATTTATTTAAATATTTTACCATTCGTCTCTTTCTTGCTGAAGACAACCAAAGGTGAGCCGGCTATGATGAGCATTAATACGATATCTTACAGGTGGCAGCAGTCGCTCAGGAGGTAGAGTCAGTCGACCAGTGATGGGAGGAGTTCACCCCAGCTCCTGCCAGCAGATTCTGCTGTTGTGTCCTTGGGCAAGACACTTCACCCAACTTGCCTATGCTGGTGGTGGTCAGAGGGGCTGAGGGTGCAAATGGCAGCTTCACCTCTGTCAGAGTGCCCCCGGGTGGCTGTGGCTAGGAGGTAGCTTACCATCAGTGGCAGTGTGTGAATAAAGGACAGGGCTTTATAAATCTTATCCATTATTACAGTCTGGGACAGGGTTTGGTAAACTGAGTGCTTTAAGAGCTCCGTATACATTACCTCTACTTAGGACCAATAAGCTGCGATACTCTCATCTAAACGTAAAATATCAGCCTGCCTGGTCTCTACGGTGTTAATCAGGAGATTCCAGGGTTCTTTATTTATTCAGGGCCTGCACACACTTCGTTTAGATTCAGAAAACAGTCAGGTTTATATAAGTAAGAATTTATTTTACAACAATTAAAACATGACAGGTTAACTAACATTTACTGTGATGGATGGATCTAGATGTGATGTATGGGTTAGGGTTGTGAATGCGGTGTTATCAGAACTTCGTATCTCGGAGAGCTGAGTTCTGGATCTCACTGGGTGAGATCATTCGATCACGTGGCTTCTCCTACCACTGCTATGCAGACGACACCCAGCTCTATCTGTCATTTCCACCGGACGACCACACTGTCTCTGCATGAATATCAAACCGTCTCTCTGACATATCAACATGGATGAAATCCCACCATCTCCAACTCAACCTCTCTAAAACTGAACTACTTGTCATCCCAGCAAAACCATCCATACAGCACAATATCTCAATCCAGAATGACTTCCTATCTCTGGCTCCTTCAAAGGCAGTTGGAAATCTGGGTGTTGTGATTGATGAACACCTGACCTTTAAAGATCATGTTGCCTCTGTTGCTCGTTCATGCCGCTTTGCGCTGTATAACATACGAAAGATCAGACCATACCTAACACAACATGCCACCCAGCTCCTGGTGCAACCTACTGTCATCTCCCGCCTCCATTACTGCAACGCCCTTCTAACTGGTCTTCCAGGCTGTACTGTGAGACCTCTTCAAATGGTCCAGAACGCAGCGGCGCGTCTGGTCTTCAATCAGCCTAAAAGAGCACACGTCACCCCTCTGTTCATTGAGCTCCACTGGCTACCGCTAGCAGCACGCATCAAATTCAAACTGCTAACACTAGCATACAAAGTCCGAGATGGTACGGCTCCCATCTACCTGAATCCTCTTGCAAAGGCTTACGTCTCGGCCCGGCCGCTCCGGTCATCACAGGATGGTCGGCTAGCAGTGCCTACACCACGCTCAGGACAATCCAGACTCTTCTCATGCATCGTTCCACAAATGTGGAATGACCTTCCAAGCTCTACCATTATGCCGCAGTTATAACTGTTTGACTTGTCTGCTCATTGTCTCCTTCTCTCTTCACTATAGGAAATGGGTTATTAACATATTGATCAAATCCATGACAAGGACTAGCTATGTGTCACGCGTTTAACTTAACTTTACTTTGTCCTTGTGCAAATGGTGACGACCTCGTCATATAAACATGCAGAAACATATTTCAATCACTGTAATCATAACACAACGTTCATTTCACACTTCAATCATTAAGCACAGATTAATGAAGCATTTCATTATATTATATTATTATAAGTAGCAATAAACAAACGTTTATTTAATGATTATCTAGCTTATAAGTTGTAGAAGTTCACGTCTGATTTAGGAAATCATTCTTTGATTTGGCAACTGATCCGAGCTGCGAGTGTTGGGCATGAAGAGTCCTGTAGGACGATACAGATGGACCTTGAGGAGAGAACATCATTGTTGACATTCGTTATCACGTGTTCAGAGCTGCAGGGAGGCTCTGAGCTCCAGCTGACGGGATGAAGGCAGGCCGATTTAAAGGGAACACTTGCAGTCTCGAGTCTCCATGTTGACCAGATGTTGGATGGTTAAACTGTACCTAAAACTGACCGTTGTTAAATAGACTCCTAGAAGGTGAAGATGAGAAGAGACCTTCTGCATCATCTGAGGAAGAGGAGGAGGGGGAGGAATGACTGAAGCCCAGCGATGGTCAGGGATTTGGATCATGATCTGAATAGTGGCTCACTCAGCAAACATCCCGGCTTGTTCCTGTTAGCAGCCAGACACAGCAAAGAGAGAATCTGGTGAACAGGAGGAAACACCTGAATAAAAGTGGTGCTGAAGACAGATCGCTTCGACCAGGTTGTAGCTGAAGGATTTTGAGAGACGCTCTCCGAACATGGAGAAGATTATCACTCACTGCTGCAGAAATAGAAACAAGCCGGGCTGACTTGGTGCTCCTAAGACCCACCTGATCCTCAGAGAGGAGTGTTGAGTCACAGTCGGCGTGGACAACCAGGACAGATCTGACACGGTATCACAGTTGGGACTATTGAAATTTCACTTTTTAGGTTTACCATTGCTTTAATCCGAGCTTTGGGTAGTGACCTAGAGAACGGTGTCATGGCAACAAGCGGCACAAATGAGTTTTCTCTGCAGGGCGTCTGGGCTAAAGCCGGGCGGACACTGTGCGACTTTTTCACTCGTAGCCCTCAGCTTCAGCTCAAACTGTACGACTTCCTCGCAGAGCAGATCTCACGAGTCATGCGCTCACACTGCACGACCCAGTTCTCGGATGCGACCTGACTGCTCACACTGTACGTCTGGTAGCAACACGTCGGCCCTAAAAATGTGCTAAAAATAGCAGTTTTTACTCAACACGTCGGACTGTTGTGTCTTGTCTTGCCTGTTGTCCTTCGGGAGTGCTGCAGGAGGACACACAGGGATTTACGGGGGTTGGATGAGGAAAACCAAATAAAGAAAGTGAATCTGTGTTTAGTGATCAGTTTAATTTGACATGAACACGACAAACACGCTTTCTTGACAATCTTTGTGAGTAAAAAAACGTGTAGAAACAAAAACGAACAGCGTGTGTTATCAGGGAAATAGCGGGCGAGCGGCGTTGATGCAGGATTGCGCGCGCATGCGCCGTGAGCGGTTCTGGTACTTTTTGGGTCGCAGCTGCTCGCAGCGCCGCTTCAACAGTGCGATACCCTCACGAGGGACGAGCAAAATATTAAACACGCCAGAAGTCCGTGCGAGCTCACGACTGCTGATCGGTAGCTGGTCACGTGGTGTTAATCGCCTCTCGTAACCCCCTGTACACTACACGACCGCTCGGCGCTAAACTCGCCCCGATCTCGCGGATTCTCGCACGACTGGAAAATCGGCTCAAAAAAGTGAAAAAGTCGCACGGTGTACGCCCGGCTAGAGAAGCTCTGGATGACAACAGTTGTGATGTCACATGCAGGTGAAGGTGATGTCGGTTTTAATTTAGGATTAAAACCTGTTTTAGTTGAGGAGCGGAGACTTGTGCAAGCTTGACCAAATGATTTTTATTCTTTTGACTTAAGACCCTGAGGCCTTTAGGGTGTAGGGTACTTTCTATCATTGACCTCCTGCTCTTCCCAGAAGGTGTAAGGTGTGGCGACGCAGACCCTTCATTTGAAACCTGACATGGGTACGCTTACACGTGCTTTGGTGGTGCGGAGGCTGGAGCTTGCCCTCGATCCCCAGCGTTAACTTTCTAAACCTGCCAGTATACTGCAGTGCATATCGTAATTAAGCCTTGAATAGACACATTCTTATATATAAATAATTAATAATGACTGTCCCCTCATTGGTGGGTAACAGTACAGAAGCTGCAGAGGGGTGGGTTAAACTACGACTCTGCTTCCTGGTCTGGACCCTGGGTTGTCATGGAGGACTAATAAAACTGGCCATGTTCCTAGAAAGAAGAGCTGCTCCATCCAAAGAGGGATGGATGCCGTCTCTCCGCATCAGACCAGGTTTTCCCCAAAAAGTTTTCCAATTATCAATGTAGCCCACGTTGTTTTCAGGACACCACCTAGACAGCCAGCGGTTGAAGGACAGCATGCGGCTAAACATGTCGTCACTGGTCCGATCAGGCAGGGGGCCAGAGAAAATTACGGAGTCCGACATTGTTTTGGCAAACTTACACACCGAAGCAACATTAATGTTAGTGACCTCCGATTGGCGTAACCGGGTGTCGTTACCGCCAGCGTGAATAACAATCTTACTGTATTTACGCTTATCCTTAGCCAGCAGTTTCAGGTAAGATTTAATGTCGCCCGCTCTGGCCCCAGGTAAACATTTAACTATGGTTGCTGGAGTCTCTAATGCCACGTTTCTGACTATGGAGCTGCCAATGATCAGAGTCGGCTTGTCAGTGGGTGCGTCACTGAGCGGGGAAAATCTATTAGAAACGTGGACGGGTTGGTGGTGGCCCACGGGCTCGGTTCTATGCTTCCTGCGTACCGTCACCCAGCCGGCCTGAGGTCCCGGCTGCTCGGGTTCTGCTGGAGGACCGCTACGGGGTGGTTCTGAGCTAGTTAGCCCCGCGCTAGCTAAGTAGCTACGGCTATCCATGGGCTTTTCAACAGCGCGGAGCCGGGACTCCCCCTCGCCTCCAGAGCTACAAAAATGCTACATTTATTACATGTACCATTATCACTAAAGGAGGCAGAGGAGTAACTAAACATCTGACACAGAGAGCAAGAGATAGGAGACGGAGAAGCAGAGACAGAAGTAGCCATAGCCGTGCTGAGGCTAAGCTAACTGGACGAGCAAACTGTTCAACACCAAATAAACTGCGTGCAAACTCAAATGGTTCCCTAAAAGCTAGGTGGAACCACAGAAAATGTGTGTTTTAGCGTGCTTATGTGCTACAATAACTCAGAGATATCGTAGTACAGAGACATTAAATCAGTTTTAGCGAGCCCCAAACACCAAGCAGCTACACGTAGTGCAACACTGAAAACAGGAAGTGATGCAAATCGCCTTACCGCAGGAAGTGACCTGCCTGCTTTCCACCAACATAATTATTTATTGGGTAAAATGCTTTACAGGTAAGGAACATGCGTGGACAACTGAGACCTTCAGTAGGTGGTACCACTAGATGTTGTTCGTACACATAGTCAGAGATTTTCTCATATTAAGGAACATTTCCACACGAGTGCACGATGACAAATACCACACAACGTGTGCATCTGTTCCTACGCAGGGCGTACGCACAGATCTGAGCATGTACGGTTGATAAATGAGGGTCCAGGTCTTCAGGACCATCAGCAGGACGTGTCTGCATCCTGCTGATGCTGAGTCAGCAGTTTGCATCTACACAGATAAAAACCGGTTTCCTTCTGCAGCTTCAGGTCTGAACCCAGAACCGGATCAAAGCTGATGGACTCACAGGGTGAGACATGTTTGTGTGACATCATCATCACTTGTAATCTCATTACTTGTTCTTGGTGTTATGTAAACGTTTCAGAGTTTCTGCTGCCAGCCTTCAGCTGCTCCTCTTCTCCTCATCCCTGACGAACTCTGATGTAACCTTCCTAGCAGCGCTGGTCATCAGCCGTGATGTC